AAAGAAAAGAAAAAAGAAATATTTGTTTCATTGTTTAATTTGGCCACTTGATGATTGAGCTTAAAGCTACACTAAACTAATATACAGTATATATGTCAAACACATTTGGTTTTATCACCTAACAAATGATATTAGAATACTTACTATGATAACAATTAAAAAACGTCATTTATTATCTATTAAACACAGTTTGATTAATAAAAAAACTGTAGAATACAGATGCAACATAAAATATATAAAGTTTTAAAATTGTAAATATCATATAATTTATGACAAAAACAAATTCTATAAAATATCAACTATTTTGAAACACAAAGAATATATACTTATATTCCTAAATAATATAGTCTTTATCCATCCATGAAAAGGAGTAAATAGGTGTTATAAATGTAAGATTTCAGTAATAATGGATTCGAATCCGAAAAGTAGATAACAAAAAAAAAATGATATGAAGAACATTTAGCTTACCCTCATGGATATGAAGACTAAGTATTTCTAGATAACCGTTGTTGAATTTAATATCCCAAAATCGTTCGGTTTTCCTTCTCTTGAACTGGAAACCGGCATCTCTTAGTTCGGTCACGGTAGGTATTATTTGTTGTAGGCGTTTGTCGGCCACGCGCGAACCCCATTTCAGTCTCTTTCCTGATGACTTGGGCTCCGGTCTAGGGAAGATCAGGCTTCGCCGGAAAACATCGAGACAGTGCAATTGGCCCAAGTCGGCTGATGGGTCAATGGATATGGCTCTTGCCAACGAGTTCTCGGCCAATGTCTCGGCCGTTGGCATTAATGGGTCAAAGAACCGAACCACTAATTGCGCCACCGAACCTGTTTGGTTTTGTAGCTCTAATAACCGGTTAAGTACGAACAAAGGAATTTGACTTTCCAGCATTATCAGGTCACGTTGAATCGAGTGCATCGATCCTCGAATCGCAAAAACTGGATCGTTACGATCGTATCTATATAACATGCAGAAAAACCAAAATCAGTCCGGTTTAGTAAGAATATGAGATAACCACGCAAAACCAGAACACTAAATCAAGAAGATTACCCGAGTTTCAAGAACCCTTCATCGACTCCTCTAAGGAGTTCAAGAACAAAACAGCCATCGAGAACAAGCATTTCTGTGAACTCATAACTGTTCAAATTAATGGGACCTTCATAGCAAGCACGAGCCTTCTCCTCGAGCTCTATCATGGCGTTAATAAACACTTCAATGCCTTGCTTCGTACGTTTCAAGACCTTATTGACCGCACGCCATTTGTGGCACTCCATGGACCGGGTTTGCTCTTCCCCATGATGGTACGGACCAAGCGAGACGGTCTGTGGGAAGTACGACTTGTTGTCCTTCCCGTGGAGGTAATGTTGAACTTTGTAGATACAGAGCTTGCCCCTGCTAGTTCGGTCATCGTCTCTATTTGCTTGCTCGAGCTTCTCACTTATCGAGATCACCCAATCATGTCGTGTGGTCCCGCTCCCTTTGATCACCTCGTTTTGGTCTTGACCGGGTCTGGTAATTTTGGGTAAAGGGAGGGGTTTATAATCTTGATTAACCGGTTCGGATTCTTGGTTTTCGGTTTTGAGTTTTAGGAGGAACATGCTTAACTTGTCTTTGTCGAATCCTTTTTTGACAAGATGTCCGGTTAGACGAAACCCCTTGAATAGTGGCGGCGGTGGCTGCGGTGGTGGCGTTGGAATCACCCATTTTTGTCTTCGGGTATAGAGTTTTTGGCGCATAATGAGAGTGAGCAAGTACCTGGTCAACATGTATTTGTGGTATAATTTTTTGTTTCTTCTTGTATTTATCAGTAAATGCCGTTGAGGAAGAATCGGCTCAAATGGTGTTGACGGTGGTGGTAATGGTTGTGGTGGCAGCGATCGTGACCGTGATGTTAGCGGTGGCCGTGATCCATTAGGCACTGGTTGACTTCTGGTTCGTTTTTGGATAAAATATCCAGTAAACCGAGAAGTAATGGGACCGAATGGTGGTGGTGGTTCTCGACTAGTAAGATTTACCATTTTTTTTTTTTTTTTTTGCTTTTTCAGAAGATTGAGAGTGAGAAAGAAATATCAAAAGCAAAGATGTAACAACTGAATATAAGATTGTGATTGGTTGCTGTTATGTATTTATACACACATTAAGCAGTCTGAAAAGGAGAAAAAAAAGAGTCTGGCATTGTAATCAGTAATGCCTTGGATCGTGACTTGACTTGAGGGTCATGTTTTATTTGTTTTTTCTTCTATGTACAAACTCCTATTAGGAGACTATATAAGTCTTGTAACATATTATCGTAATATACATAGCAGTATAGCACAATGTATTTGACTGAAGATATTAAAAGACTTTAAAAGTCTAGTGGCATACTATCGTCATATAGCTTCATTATAATGTAGCAGAGCACAATATATTTATGAAGTGAGATGTGAAATTTATTAATCATTATAAGAAAGTTATTTACAAAGAATTGAAATGATCATAGTGTGATTTTTAAAGGGCCAAATAATAAAGAATGAGTGAACTAATGTAAGTCACAAACTTCAAACCACCTCCTTAGTTTAACCTTCCAGCCTGAAAACTTCAAACTCTATTTTAAGAAACGTAAAATACTCTGTATGTAATCAACAAGAGATTTGAGATATCAAAATATCCAAATTCTTTTTAATAAAAAGCATTTTTTTTAAAGATGTGAATAAAATAGCAAGTTTAGACTTTTATTACTGGCGGATAGACCAGATTCATTAAATTGGCACTACACAAAATTCGGTAGATATTCGGTTAAGTCAGGATATGAGACGGAGCGTGAATATCCCACGAAAAGTGTTGAACAGAAACTTATTGGACCCGATATAAGTCGGTTGCAGAGCCAAGCATGGAAAGTCAAGTGCCCGCCAAAGATGAAGCATTTTCTCTGGCAGATTATTTCCAGATGTATTTCGGTAATAGATCGGCTTCGAAATAAGAGAATTAATTGTGATCCTCAATGCCAAAGATGTGGTACAGAACGTGAAACTTTCAATCATACTTTATTTGAATGTCCACCAACCTATCAAGTGTGAGCCCTATCGTTGATCCCTACACCACAGACAGGTTTCCCTACGACCGCCATATACACAAATATGGCACATTTATTTTGGCAATTACCAGATACAAGCGGTATGGAAGTATTCCCATGGATACTCTGGTATGTCTGGAATGCCAGAAATGATAAAAAAATTTCAAACATTGATCAGGATCCGAGGGAAGTTTTAAAACTGGCTAGGGCAGAAGCTGAGGCCTGGACACTGGCACAAACTGAAGATCATCACACGGTACGCCTAGATCCTCCACGAATGGATAATACCGGGTATCTGGGTTTCATATACGCAACAGACGGATCATGGAAGGAGACTTCCTCAAAAGCGGGACTCGGTTGGTTTTGTCAAGAACAAGGGACAAATAACACACTCCTGGGGGTCAAAAATGTTAGACGGAGCATCTCCCCATTACACACGGAACTGGAAGCATTGGTATGGGCTATGCATTGCATGTTCGATGCGCAAAGATTGGAGGTGGTCTTTGTTACAGACTGCCTAGAACTGGTGAAGATGGTGGCTAAACCTGAAGACTGGCCGGCTTTGAAGCACACTTGGAGGAATATGAGAGAAATAGGAAAGAGTTTACCTCATTCTCCATAAAGCATATCCCACGCGCTGAAAACAAGAAGGCAGACAAGCTAGCAAAAAGTGCTCGTAACTACCTTTATAATATAGATTATGTAAACTCAATTCCACCGGTTTAGATCTTTGAACCGTTCTAGAATGAGAGGCTGTTGACAAAAAAAAAAAAAAGAGACTTTTATTACTAGCATTTTTAACTCTATCTCAAGTCAACCTACACGCGGCTGTCGTCAACGTAAATATACATATTTGCATCTTCTAGATATCTTTTATACAATAATAATTTTATAATTGTGCTAAAAATATCTTACAATAAAAATACCAAGTTTCGGTTTATTCTCTGGCTACATGCATTCTCTTGTCTTTTCTACCTTTGTAAGAATGTAGGGAGGGGCTGCGAGCGTGCGAGACTTTGAGTCGTTCGGCTCGGGAAAGAGATCCCCAACGCGGATATGCTCCAGCCGAACATTAGACCGTCTAGTAGTAGGTGGTAGAAGCAAAACCTCGTGCCAAGAGTTTGCCAAAGCTCCAGACAAATTTTCACACTATTAATTTTTTCTTTTTTTAACTACATCATATTATTACATATTCTTATACCCAATAATTAATTTTAATATTTTTAAAAAATATATATATTCCAAGTATAGTATCCATAGTTATTACTATTATCCCTAGAATAATAGTATTAATTATCAAATTTTCTTTCAACGATATATTTTTGGCCTATACACACACAGCTTTGTTCATTAGTTGACAATAAATAAAATAGGGTCAGGGAAGAATCCAATTAAGATGCAATCAGTCGTAAAGAATGGAAACTCGGCAGTTTGAGGTCTCTAATTTTGCTAAGTACCCATTTCCTCTTAAGTCTTATCGGTGCGATTTAGGCTTAATGGTCGAATTGAGTACGTGGATTTGCATCTCATCAACAATTTACAGAATTTTTAATTTGCATTTGGTTCTACATTAAGTCCATTCAAACGTTGACCTAAAGAGTACTAGCACGGTGTAATAGTCTTCCAGTTTTTGTCTTTGAATTTGGTGATTTAAAGGAATTTGGATAATCCACAAGACTTGATAAATTTGTGTGGATAGGATCAAGTTTCAAGTTGGGCAAACCAAAGACCCATCTTCGAAAAAGGAGATTATTTCAGTACACAAATAAACAAACGATGTCGCTTGATGTTTTTTTTTTCTGTACCGAACATAACTTGTGGGACAAGATAGCTACTTTCGGAATTCGGACCAAGTATTATGGATTTACAAAACCTAAATATAAAATAAAGTCAAAATCCACTTTAAAACATATTTTACGATTCAATAACTATTACAAAACCCACATGTTACAATGCAAATGTTTGTATTTAAATTAAAAGAAAATACAACATGTTTCAGAACTCAAAGCATTCCAAATTGAACGAAAGAGAAAAACCACAGGATAGTAATCATGAAGATCAAGAAAAATATTCATAACCAGCAAAGTAAGTTTGAGATAATGTGAGAACTAGGAGAATAACTGCAGCAAAGAAAGAGAAATATGCCCAAGGGCTATCGAAGTACTTGTGTTTCAAAGTCGACTTCCAAGCGTTCCATTTCCTGAAGAAGTTCTGGTTATAGCATTGAAGAACCTCAGTCAACACTTGAGATAAATAAATATCATTGGTGTTGAATACCACTTCCTGACATAGCTGGTTGAACACATTCGCAACATCAGAATAACTCCCTAGCGAGTGCTCGATGATACCACATTGATGCAAGTAACTAACATCTTCCGGAGAATCTATTAGACTGTCCATAAAAATTATGTATGATGTTATGTCGTTGCTTGAGTCGGTATGGCACTGCTCGAAAGCTATGAGATTCAAGAAGAGAGACTTGGTACCTACAAGAAAATGGAGAGGGCGTGGGCTTGTAAGTTTTAAGAGTAATTGGATCCTTTTGTAACAAAAAAAATGTATTTGTATATTGTCTAATAATTTAGCCACTTGATATTTGAAGATAAAGCAGCACTAAACAAATATATTTGGTTTTGCCACCCATCTACAAACCATATTTTTTTGGGGGTGATTCCTAAGTCCTAACTAATGTAGCCTGTAACTCTTGATCAATCCCTAGTAAGGAATAAAAGGTGTATTAATGTAAGATTTCAAAGGTAGTGGGTAGGAAAAGAAGATAGTAAAACATTTGGGGGAAATAACATATAGCTTACTCTCATGGATATGAAGACTCGGTATTTCTAGATAACCGTTGTTGAATTTAATATCCCAAAACCGGTCGGTTTTCCTTCTCTTGAACTGAAAACCGGCATCCCTTAATTCGGTCACGGTAGGTACTATTTGTTGTAGGCGTTTGTCGGCCACGCGCGAACCCCATTTCATTTTCTTTCCTGATGTCTTTGGCTCCGGTCTAGGGAAGAGTAGGCTTCGCCGGAAAACATCGAGACAGTGCAACTCGCCTAAGTCGGTTGATGGGTCAATGGATATGCCTCTCGCCAACGAGTTCTCGGCCGATGTCTCGGCCGTTGGCATCAATGGGTCAAAGAACCGAACTGCTAACTGCGCCACCGAACCGGTTTGGTTCTGTAGTTCTAATAACCGGTTAAGTACGACCAAAGGAAGCTGATTTTCCAGCATTATCATGTCACGTTGAATCGAATGCATGGATCCTCGAATCGCAAAAACTGGATCGTTGCGATCGTATCTATATAACATGCAGAAAAATCAAAATCAGTCCGGTTTAGCAAGAATATGAGATAACCACGCAAATTCAGAACACTGAATCAAGAAGATTACCCGAGTTTCGAGAACCCTTCCTCGACTCCTCTGAGGAGTTCGAGAACAAAACAGCCATCGAGAACAAGCATTTCTGTGAACTCATAACTGTTTAAATTAATGGGACCTTCATAGCAAGCACGAACCCTCTCCTCGAGCTCTATCATGGCATCAATAAACACTTCAATGCCTTGCTTCGAACGTTTCAAGACCTTATTGACCGCACGCCATTTGTGGCACTCCATGGACTGAGTTTGCTTTTCTCCATGATGGTACGGACCAAGCGAGACGGTCTGAGGGAAATATGACTTGTTGTCCTTTTCGTGGAGGTAATATTGAACTTTGTAGATACAGAGCTTGCCCCTACTAGTTCTGTCATCGTCTCTATTTGCTTGCTCGAGCTTCTCACTTATCGAGATCACCCATTCATGTGGTATGGTTCCGCTCCCGCTCCCTTCGACCACCTCGACCGTACCAGGTTTGGAACGAGTGTGCCCGTTTTGGTCTTGATCGGGTCGTCTGGTGATTTTGGACAAAGGGAGGAGTTTATGATCTTGATTAACTCGTTCGGATTCTTGGTTTTCGTTTTTGACTCTTAGGAGGTACATTCTCAACTTGTCTTTGTCGAATCCTTTTTTGATATGATGACCGGTAAGCCGAAATCCCCTGAACAGTGGCTTCGGTGGTGGCCTTGGTGGTGGCGTTGGGATCACCATTTTGTTGGTTGAAGCTTTTTGGTGAGAACAACAGAGCGAGTAATACAACTGGCTGAAGCAACGACGTAACTTATTTAAAGCTACGATCTGGCCATGTTTTCTATGTATTATTATTTTTTTTATTCTGTACCTACAATTTTAATATTTATATTTTACAAGTGATATTGTGAAAGTCAAACTTCATTAACAAATACTCACTAGTATATAAAGTTTTTTTTATATGCTACTACATTGAGATCGAAATATCACTCGTGTAAAGGTCTTGACTTTCCCTAGGTGTTAAAGAAAATTAGATAACTACTATCAATTAGGAAAAGTCAATGAGGTTTCTATCATGAATCAATTTATATCCAATAAGAATATAGTAGTTTATATTCAAAAATTTCCACGAAAAATAGTACATATATAAACACTTCTTTTTTTTAAGATTCATTTCAGCAACACCTAATACATTTTTTTAAGATTCACTTTAAAAAAATGACTTTTTCCATGGTATTCTCTGAAAAAAGTCACAAGTATATACTAATTTCATAGCAATGATTTTTAACAATTCGACCGGACGACCAATCCAACTGCTATTATTTTATTGAAATTTTTTTTCAAACAGTAAATAATTTATCATACTTTTGTTTGAGAAAATAAACTATTTATTTTTCAATAACTTCCCTACAAATTGATCCCAAAAAACTGTTGTGTAAATCCGGATGTTCTATATCAGGTAAGTGTTTAGAACTTTAAACAATAAACTTTATTCTGTTTTGATAAATAAAATTCAATATTTTATCTCTTAATCTCTGTTATTGTCAATAATTATTTATCTAATCAACAATATTAAAAAAAAATTAACTTTTCCGTGTAAGAGAATCAACAACAAAAGTAATACAGTCATGTTCCTATTGGGTCACAATACTGACTTTTTCTTTTTCATGGAGCAAAGTCATGTGTAGTGATTGATATTACACAGACGTGAGGAAGCCCTAATTCTCAAATTTACAAGCCAAACCTGAAGGTGAAGTTGATGATTGTGGACAAAGAAGGTGAGGGATCTTTCTCTGTTCATTACATTGCAAAGTTGGTCTGGACTTTGCTTACCAGATGCTCTCCGTAGACAGCTCTTTTGAAAACTTGGGATTCTCCTCTCCCTCCAGGGTTCTTCTGTTTACATATATCCAATGGCTCCACGACCGCGTCGAAATTAGTCTGTTTCAGTCAAAGATTTCAAGAACATGAATGTGGAGGAGTACCCGAGGAAACGAAAAAGAGTGTCAGAAAAGTTATAGCAACCTCATAGAAGAATGCAACGCAGACACGGTACTGAGGAGAGTTATTGATCACTCTATGAAGTGTGGAATTGTATACTCCGTTTGAAAGTATCTGAATATATGAATATGATTCCTCAAAAGGTTCTCAAATGGATATTCAAGAAAGAGAGGTGAGATTAGGAAGAACAAAACCTTTAACATGTCGCCGATGTTGCATACAAATGATCCAGGGATGGGAACGGCTGATATCCAATGGCCGCACAAGTTTCTCACCTTTTCAAAGTTTAGAATTTCTTAAAGAGACAAGACCAAATTCTTCACCTAAACATTTAAAGCAGAGAGAATATAGCAACAATAACAATATCTGGAGTGCAGTTTTGTCCATCAAGAGTTTACAATAGAAAAGTGTTCCCATTTGAAACAGAACTATGAATAACAGAATCAGAAATTTAACTTGAATCCACTTACCATAGTCAGAGATGTGAGATTATGATAAGTGGATTCAAAAGAAATTTAACTTGAATCCACCACACGCTGCTTTACTGGAACCAGAGCAGCGTGTGGTATACGGATATTCGGACAAAGTGAATTATTAGTGCTTATAAGCGAAAAGGGAATCATTGTAAAGCAATACTAAATTAAATTACATTAAATTTAATTCATTTGGTTATAATGATTTCAGTTATAATCCAGCTTTGTTTTCGTTCTAAATGAAACTATCATTTATTTTATTAATAAAAAAATACAAATACAGTAAAACTTCTATAAATTAATAATGTTGGGACTCTCAAATTTTATTAATTTATAGAGTTATTAATTAATATAGATATTTTTAGTTTGAATTTTTATTATTCATAAAAAAACAAAATCAATATTTTTAACAATGTAAAATTCATTCAAAAAATATCTTAATAATGAATTTAGAAGATAAATCAAACAAATTTCATAAACTTGAAACAACAATATTATCATAGTTTACTATATTATATTATTAATATGTCTAAATGTATAATTATTAATTTATATTATTATTAGGACCATATTTTTACATAGAACTTTCAAAAAAACTATTATCTTATTATCTTGTCGAATTTTGTCAATTTTTACATTGGTCCAACTTGGAACTAGCAAAAATTATTAACTTATAGTGATTATTAATTTATCCAGTATTAATTTATAGAGGTTTTATTGTATTAGTTTTTTCTTTTAGTGATTTTTGTTTAATGGTGTTTTCAGTCTCTCAGTGAGTTCTGTTGCCATCGGATTGCGGTTTAATTTGGATAATACAATATACGATAAGATATACATTTTATAAAAAACATCCAGAGAATACAAGCATTCCAAATTGGGTGAACGAAACAAAAAAAAAAGACAACAAAATAGTAATGAAAATTATGGTGGTGGTTTAAAATAAGCATAACCAGCAAAAAAACTCTGAGAGAATGTGAGAACCAATAAAAAAACTGCAGCAGAGAAAGAAATAAATGCCCAAGGGCTATCGAAGTACTTCTGTTTCAAGGTTGTCGTCCAAACATTCCACTTCCTGTAGTACTTATTGTGATGGTGATAATAACGATTGACCTTATTCGACAACTGAGATAAATAACTATCTTTAATGTTAAAAACGATTTCTTGACCTACCCGACCGAAAAAACTGGCGACTTTAGAGTCATTCTCTAACCAGTGTTCGATGATACCGCATGAACGCAAGTGACTAACATCTTCAGGAGAATCTATTAGATTGTCCATGAAAACTATGTAGGATGTTATGTGGTTACTCAGAGTCCGGATGGCACTGCTCGAAAGCTATGAGATTCAAGAAGAGAGACTTGGTACCTACAAGATACAGCATAGCGAGTCGGGTTGTAAGTTGTCTAAATTAGCCAATAGTACGTTGATGACCTATATTTACTCTATAGCCCACATGACATTTGAGAATAAAGGCGAAATTTAAAACCAACATATGTAATTAAAGAAAATATTGTTTTATACATGCAATAAATCATGTTTGGGTGCAAAAAAAAAAGTGCATTTGTTTCATTGTCTTGATTTTATTCAACTTACCATCATGGATAAAGAGTTTTGGTATCTCTAGATAACCTTTTCTGAATAATATCCCAAAACCGGTCGGTTTTCCTCCTCCTGAACTTAATACTGGTATGCCTTAGTTCGGTGACGCAATGTATCATTTGTTGTTGGCGCTTGTCCACCACGCGCGAACCCCAGTACCATCTCCTTCGTGATAACCTTGGTTCTGTTTTCAGACTAGACCGAAGCAGACTCCGACGGAAAGCATCCAGACAGTGCAACTCGCTTTTGTCGCCAATTGAGACCAAGGGGGTTTCCATCCAGTTCATAAGTTTTGACTGGTCCGGTTCGGTCAATGCCTCCCCTGTCGGCATTAATGGGCTGAAAAACCGAACAGCAGCATCTGCCACTATAGCAGTTTGGTTCCGTGTTCCGAGTTGTAGCTCTAACAACCGGTCGAGAACAAACAGAGGAAGTTGATTTTCCAGCATTACCATGTCCCGTTGGATCGAACGCATCAATCCTCGCATAGCAAAAATTGGATCGTTACTTGCATATCTACACAGGAAAAAGTATTCAGTGTCAACTACAAAACCGGATCTGCTGTCATACCGATTTGCTGAGTACATGAGATGACCGGATAAAACCATAAAATTTAGTCAATTCTTACCCGAGTGTCGAGAATCCTTCATCAGCTCCTCTGAAGAGCTCGAGGATAAAACAGCCATCAAGAACTAGCATTTCGGCGAACTTGTTACTGCTCAAACCAATGGGACCTTCATAGCAAGCACGAGCCTTCTCTTCGAGCTCTTTCATGGCGTCAAAATACATTTCTATGCATTGCTTGGTACGTTGTATGACCATATTGACCGCACGCCATTTGTGATGGTCCATAGGGAGGAGATGCATCTTTCCTAGGTGTTATGGACCAAACGAGACGGTTTGAGGGTAGTAGGACCTCCTGTCGCTTTCTTGAAGGTAATGTGGAACTCTGTAGATACAGAGCTTGTCCCAGCTTGTTGTGGCACCGTCTCTAAGTACTTGCTCCATCTTGTCTTTGATCCAAATCAGCCATTCATCTCGTGTCTCTCCTAGGATATCTTCGCTCATCTCAATCTCACCATGTTCGGAACGAGTCTGCAGGTGTTGGTCTTCATCTGGTATGGTATATTGGCATAAACCGGGAAGGTTGTGATCGTGATTAACCTGGTCGGAATCTTGGTTTTGGGTTTGGAGTTTATCGCGAATCATGAGGGTGAGCAAGTACCAGCTCAACAAGTCTTTGAAAACTGGTGACCCTTCGGAAGGGAACATTCTGTGAAACCATAATTTTGGTTGGTTTAAGCTTTTTCAGGAAATTTAGAGTAAATTGTCTCTCTTTTTTTTTTCTTTGGTTTTGGGGAAACTTAAGAGAGGTATAGAGAGTAATTGCTAAATGTCAAAAGCAACGATGTAACAACTGTTTAAATCTTCAGTCAAAAAAAAAAAAAATTAGTCAATAAAAACCATCTGTCTAAAGCTGTAATATGGCCATGCATTGTTTATTTTTTACTCCTGCATGTCTCTTATAAAGAGACTGCTGTCATAAATGCTTGTAATTGTGACAGTAGAAAAAGACTTTCGTTCAAACATTCAAACTAATTATAAAAAGACTAACAGTTTCTTACAATATACTATATTTATTGCCTTATTAGGATCGAGAGATATCACTCTTCTAAAAGGATTTTTTTCCAAGGTAATAAGAAAATAACAAGTGTATAATTTTTTTTTTTTTTTTGAACTTTACAAGTGTATAATTTTATAACATTGTTTTCGGACGATTCAACTGGACCTATCCGAACTACATTTGCAAAAGAAAAATCGCTCCACATCAAATTGTATATCTAGTAGAATAATCTATCAGTAGGTAATACTAGGTACACTCACCACACAGGCGAGATAAAAAATCTATTCACTATTTTATCAAACATGATTAAAATATATTTGAAACAAGATAAGTTATATGTGTGTTAATAATATTTTTTACTAACAATAATATTTGTTTTACATCAGATCTTAGTATATTTAATTTTGTTATAATGTTTAAAATTTATAAGTTAAAATATTATAAAATTTTATCATATCAAACTTTTGATCTAATTTATATTTTTTAATATTTCTGATCCATCCAAAATCCAAATATCTAACACGTTTTTTTGTCAATTCAAATATTTACAATGATTTAAATTATATAATAAGTTCATATATTTCAAAATATTTTAAAATTTTTGTCAGATAAAAATATATTTTACTAATTATACAGTTCAATCAAATAACTGGATTAAATCGAATAAAAAGTAAATCATGCTAACTACTCATGATTGCTGATTATTTAGATCATTTAATAATACATTTCTAAAATATTTATCAAAAAAATACTCGATGTGAAACGTTTAATAGTTGTAGTGATTTATTCGTGTTTGAAATTCAAATGCGGACAAAATGTTGTCAGTTTTGATTAATAGTAGAAATGGAGTTTAACCTTCATCCCCACGTTTCAGTTTTTGTTTGTCAAATCAACGGTATTAATTGATAACACACCGACGTCAGGAAGCCCTTATTCATAAGTTTTACAAGCCAAACCTGAAGGCGAAGTTGACGTTTGTGTACAAAGAAGGTGAGAGATCTTCTATGTTTCATTACATTGCAAAGTTTGTCTGGACTTTGCTTACCAGATGCTCTCCGTAGACAGCACTTTTGAAAACTTGAGCTTCTCCTCTCCCTGAAGGGTACATCTGTTTACATATATCCAATGGCTCCACGACCGCGTCGAAATTAGTCTGTTTCAGACCAAGATTTCAAGAACATGAATGTGGAGGAGTACCAGAGGAAAAGACAAAGAGTGTTTGAAAAGTTATAGCAACCTCATAGAAGAATGCAACGCAGACACGGTACTGAGGAGAGTTGTTGATCACTCTGTGAAGTGTGGATTCGTATACTCCGTTTGAAAGTATCTGCATTTATGATTCCCCAAAAAGGTTCTCAAATGGGATTATTCAAGAAAGATATCTGAGAGTAGGGAAGAACAAAACCTTTAACATGTCACCGATGTTGCAGACAAATGATCCAGGGATGGGAATCGCTGATATCCAATCGCCGCACAAGTTTCTCACCTTTTCAAAGTTTAAAATCTCTTAGAGAGACAAGACCAAATTCTTCACGTCAACATTTAAGAAGATAATAAATAACAATAACAATACCTGGAGAGCAGCTTTGTCATCATCTTGGTTTACAAGAGTTAACAAGCCTGCATAGAAAAAAGTGTTCCCCATTTGAAACAGAACTATGAAAATTAGAATCAGAAATTCAACTTGAATTCACTTACCATAGTCAGTATGTGCTCCACTGGAACCAGATCAGCGTTGTAAAACGGACAAAGGTGAGTTACTCGAGCTTATCAAATGGAATCACAGTAAACAATAAGTAAAAATAAAAAGTTACCATCCAATATCATTTTTAGGCTGGCAATTTGTAAACGGAGCACCTGGATAGCCAATAAGACGCATCACCCAAAAAGGCTCTCCAGCAATCTTTCCTTCAAACTCATAAGGTGATCCTCCAAGAGCTAATGCAATTCCCCTCAAGATCTTTCTTGAAAGATCTGAAAAAACCATGAAATGAAAGTACTAATTAAGGGATTATGTGAAAGGACTCTTGGAAACATAACACTTTACCACAGAAGAAAAAAAATGGTAAAAACAGACCTGTACAGAGCTTAATATACTCATCCATCAACTCTTTGAACTCTTGAGGATTCTCTGGCCTTCAAAGAACACACCACAGTAAAACAAAAAAGAAATGGTTAGAAGAAGAAGAAGCAAAATAAAAATGATAACGAAATAGAATTACAGATATACCACTGGTTTGGCCCTTCCATAGGTTTTCCTAAATCCCCATACTTCCCCTGCTTAAACTCTCTGTAACACTGTCCACAAGAGAATAAACACACATAATAAGAAATCACACTAAAACATGGCTTATGAGTACCTTACTGAACACACAAACACACTTACATCAATGGCTTCGTGAATATCTGGTTTTCCCTTTGTTACATTTTCTCCAATTCTTTGATATCCTCTGTTTTTTACAGAACATCCGATGAATCATCCTCGGAAACAACACTAGATATTACTGGATTTTGGACCTATGCAACCAATGAAACAAACCTGTATCCAGCAGATGGAGTCATCTTGATCTTCAGTTTATCTTCATAAGGAAGCTTGAAGAACTCACGTGTGATCTCTCTGGCTTTCTTGATTAAATACTCTGAAATTCCATGTCCTATCTGCTCTCCACTCATCCCAAATTTTTTAAAAAAAAAATCTTTTACAAACCCCAAGAAAAAGGAACTCAATTTCGACAATAAAAGCTAATCAATTTTGGTACCACGTAGAAGAATCCGGCGTCCCGACAAGCTCTGTCCAGTTGCCGGACAACCTCAACAACTCCGGCATCCTCCGTCATGTCGGGATCATCACACTTGAGCAGTAAAGGAGCTATGTCTACAAGAACATCGAACTTTCGAATGAAGATTCAGAGTATTTAAGAAGAATATAAGTTATCGTTAGTACCGATGACTGGTAAGGATTTGAAGTCCGTCGCCATCTTGTTTTTTCTTTCTCTTTCTCTGCTTCAGAATCTTCTTTCGGATATTTTTAGGTAAATGGAGATTCTATCTAATCTACTGTTGTACGTGTGGCTTGAGAGAATCTCTTTTAAGGATAGCAAAAAAAGACTTTGAGAGGATATTTCCCAGTTTGGATTATTCACACCCTATTCTAAGACCTTAAGATACTTAAAGATTCTTTCTTTTAAAATATTCGAGAATCTTTTGATTGTGCTTATTCAAGGCATGATTAATAGCGAGTTGAACTGTTTTGAGTTTTGATATTTAATAGATAATGTTTTTTAGACAAATAATACAAAAATATTACAGTAACAACCTTTACCAGCTAAATTCCAAAGTCACATTGTCTTTTGTCTGAGCGGCATCCCTTTGGGATAAGCTAGCTGCCATGTCAGCAATTTTACGTTGCCATTGTCTGATGATGGGTCCTATGTTTTCAAGTTGTAGAGCTTCAATGATATCACTTCCATGCACCAGAGGTTTTACATCCCATATATTATCAAGATCCAGTTCACGAATGGTTCCCTCAACTGTTAGATAAATCTCTCTTCTCTTGTCGTCGGTACACATCAACAGTGATGTCAAGAGTGCAACACGCCACAAGCCTTTGATATCTCTAAGAAATCATCAGATCGATTGGTGACCAGATAATGAAACAAACGAAACAGCCCCAATAGTGTAATGTGTTGTTGCAAAGTTGAGAGAGCATCTCTGTCTCGTTACAAAGTAAAGTTAGTGTGGACTTTGCTAACCAGATACTCGCCATAGACAGCTCTTTTGAAAACTTGAGCTTCTCCTCTCCCTGAACCTGAAGGGTACTTTTCTTTACATATATCCAATGGCTCCACGACCGCGTCGAAATTAGTCTGTTTCAGATCCAAGATTCAAAAACATAAATGTGGAAAGTAACAAAGGAAAAAGAAAAAGCGTATATAGAAAGTTATAGCAACCTCATAGAAGAATGCAACGCAGACATGGTACAGAGGACTGTTATTGATCACTCTGTGAAGTGTGGATTCGTATACTCCGTTTGAAAGTATCTGCATATATGAATATGATTCCTCAACAAATGAATATTCAAGAAAGATTGGTGAGAGTAGGGAAGAACAAAACCTTTAACATGTCGCCGATGTTACAAACAAATGATCCAGAGATTGGAACAGCTGATATTCAATCACCACACAAGTTTCTCACCTTTTCAATGTTTAAAATCTCTTAGAGAACATATTAGTCACACATATAATAAGAGAAGGTAACAATAACAATACCTGGAGAGCAGTTTTGTCATCATCTTGGTTTACAAGAGTTAACAAGCCTGCATAGAAAAAGTGTTCATCATTGAGACAGAAACTATGAAGATTAGAATCAGAAATACAACTTGAATTCACTTTATGGTCTAAACTTAATTACCATAGTCAGTGTGAGCTCCACTGGAACCAGAGCAGCATGGTAAACGGACAAGGTGAGTTACTTGAGCGTATCAAATGGAATCATAATAAACGTATAAGGATAAAAATAGAAAGTTATACCATCCAATATCATTTTTGGGCTGGCCATTTGTGACCAGGGCGTCACCTGGATAACCAATAAGACGCATCACCCAAAAAGGCTCTCCAGCAATTTTACCTTCAAACTCATTAGGTGATCCCTTAAGAGCTAATGCAATCCCTCTCAAGATCTTTCTTGAAAGATCTGAAAAAACCATGAAATGAAAGTAAGAAACCAAAGATTTATCCGAAAGTCTATTGGAAACATAGCAGAAAGAAATGGTATAAAAGACCTGAACAGAGCCTAGTATACTCCTCCATCAACTCTTTGAACTCTTGAGGAATCTCTGGCCTTCAAGAAAACAAAATAAAAATGGTCAGAAGATGAAGCAACATAAACTGATAACGAAATCTAATATATAGATTATATATACTACTGGTTTAGGCCTTCCATAGGTTTTCCTAAATCCCCATACTTCCCCTGCTTAAACTCTCTGTAACACTATCCGCAAGAGAATAAACACACATAAGGAGAAATCACACTGAAACATGGCTTAGAGTACCTTGCTGAGCACACAAACACACTTACATCAATGGCTTCATGAATATCTGGTTTTCCTTTGGTTACATTTTCTCCAATTCTCTGATATCCTCTGTTTTTGCAGAACAATCGGTGAATCATCCTTGGAAACAATACTAAAGACTATGGTATATAAACAAACCTGTATCCAGCAGCTGGAGTCATCTTGATCTTCAGTTTATCTTCATAAGGAAGCTTGAAGAACTCACGTGTGATCTCTCTGGCTTTCTTAATTAGATCCTCCGAAATTCCATGCCCTATCTGCTCTCCATTTTCATCCCCAACCAATCAGATCTTTTACAAACTTCGATAATAAAGCTAATCAATTAAACTCAGTTTTGTTACCACGTAGAAGAATCCAGCGTCCCGACAAGCTCTATCCAGTTGCCGGACAACCTCAGCAACTCCGGCATCCTCCGTCATGTCGGGATCATCACACTTGAGCAGTAAAGGAGCAATGTCTGCAAGAACATCGAATTTTCGAATGAAGATTAATTTAGAGTAAGAAGAATAAAGTTTCGTTAGTACCGATGACTGGTAAGGATTTGAAGTCCGTTGCCATCTTGTTTCCTCTTTCTCTCTCTCTGCTTCAGAGTCTGATAGGGTCTAAAATGGATGCTACCGATTTAAAGAGGAGGCGATGAGTGTAAAGAAAACACCGATAGTGCCAAGCACTAGCCCAAGACCGTAATACCCGAGAGATCCGAAAGAAACAAAGACCCTCTAAGTATGAATAATAAGATGAAAGAATACTTAGAGAAAACTTGAAGGAACTTTAGAGAGAATAAGAGAACTTATGAAGAATACTCTTTCTTTATTTGTTCAACCTCTCTTTTTTTTTTGTTTACAAATGATGGAGTAGTGGGCTATTTATAGGCTCCACTTATTACAAAATATCTTACAAACATTCTCCTAATCTCTAGAATTTTCTACAATAATATCTAGAATTTTAACTACAACATCTAGAATTATCTATAGAATTATCTAGATATTTAACTAATAGAATTCTCTAGAACATTTAAGAAAGATGATGATTTTTAGTGATGTTTCTAGAGATTCTAGAACTTGAGCTTAATTTTGGGTCTAATCTAATAACTAATAATTATTTTATAAACCCAAAATTAAGCTTAACCCAAAATCAAGTTTAACTTCAATACTCCCCTTTAAACTTGATTTTGTCAGTCATCCCGAGCTTCGAGCGAAGTAACTCGAACTGACCTTTTGGTAATGACTTGGTGAAGATATCCGCAACGTTGTCCTCGCTTCGAACTTCCAAAGCTTCAATTGTCCCATCAAGCACCTTCTCTTTTATGAAGTGATGCTCTAACTCAATGTGTTTAGTCCTCCCATGGAACACCGGATTATTGGCCAGCTTGATCGCACTTTGATTATCTCCATAAATTGCAATTGGCTTATTGATTGGCTCGAACAGATCTTCAAGGAGTCTCTGAAGCCAAATACACTCTTGAGCTGCTAGAGTTGACGCTTTATACTCTGCTTCAGTTGTAGATAACGACACCGTTGCTTGCTTCTTACTGCACCATGAGACACTTGTGTTCCCACATAGGAAAACATAGCCTGAAGTTGATTTCCGATCATCAAGATCTCCACCAAAGTCAGCATCCGTGAAGCCATAAAGAGAGACCTTGGCATTATACTTGTACACCAGACCCATGCCAAGAGTTGTCTTCACATACTTCAATATCTTCTTTGCCGCTTCTAGATGTGGCTTCCTTGGTGCCTGCATAAACCGACTTACAAGACCTACCGCGAAGGCAATGTCAGGTCTTGTAATGGTTAAGTATAAAAGACTTCCTACAAGAGAGCGATAAGGCCGAGGATCAGGTAGTAAGGACCCTTCATCGCGTTTAAGCTTTATGTTGACATCCATTGGAGTAGAGCGTGTCTTTCCTTCGTGTACTCCAAACTTCTCAACGATTCTTCTTGCATAGCTTTGTTGGCCGATGAATATTCCACCCTTTACCCTTTCCACCTCCAAACCGAGAAAGTTGTTGAGCTCTCCCAACTTCTTCATCTCAAACCTTATCGACATATCCTCTTGTAAACGAGTAATTTCTGCATCATCATTCCCGGTAATTATCATATCATCCACGTAAAGGAGAACTACCACGTGGACTCCTCCATTCTTCTTGAAGAATAGACTCGGATCAGAGTTTGATGCCACATAACCGCAGAACTGAAGAAACTGAGCAAGCTTTCCATACCAGGCTCGTGGAGCTTGTTTTAACCCATACAAGGCCTTCTTCAGCTTACACACATAATCAGGATGCTCTCGTGATATAAAACCAAGTGGCTGCTCCATCAGGATTTCCTTGTCAAGCTCTCCATATAGAAAAGCATTCTTCACGTCTAATTGCCATAACTTCCAACCAAAACTTGCAGCCAAAGATAAAGAGAGAACGTACCGTAGTCATCTTGGCTACAGGGCTGAAGGTCTCATCATAGTCTTCTCCATACTTTTGAGAGAATCCCCGAGCAACCAACCTTGCTTTGAATCTATCAACGCTTCCATCTGTTTTGCGCTTGATCCAGTACACCCATTTACAAGAAACAGGTTGGGCATTCTTGGGTTTTGGAACCAAATCCCAAGTTTCGTTCTTCATGAGAGCATTCATCTCCTCCTTCATTGCGTTTTCCCACTCGTCAACACCTTTTGCTTCATCATAAGATGTTGGCTCATCTTCATCTAATGGAGCTGCAAAGTAGCACGAGAAGGTAGTAACAAACTTTGGATCTCTGAACCGAGCAGGTTTAATGATGTCCCTTTTAGGCCTTTGACTAGCCGTGGAACCATGATGTTCCTCCTCATCCTCCTCTTGATCAGTGCTCCCCCTTTCACCTTGCATCTCTTCTTCAGGACCTTTTTCCTTACTCAGAGCTGGTTTATCACTCTTGGAGGAACTCCCACCTTCTTGCTCAACTAAAACTTGAGGTGGCCCATAGAATGAGGAAACTTCATCAAAAACAACATCTCGAGACACTACGTACCTGTGTGTCTCTGGATCCATACACCTCCACCCTTTTCTTTGTTCGTCATAGCCAAACGAAGATGCACTTCTTCGCCTTTGCCTCCAACTTGGTTCTTTGAGAATCAAACACATGGACGTAGCAGACTGATCCAAATATCCTGAGATGTTTCACTGACGGCTTCTTCCCATGAATCATCTCATACGGAGACTTCATGTTATTTGGGCTGAGTGGCATCCGATTTATGACGTACACTGCGCATCTCATGCCTTCCGCCCACAAGGCTTTAGGCAGATCCTTCCCATATAGCCAGCTTCTGCACGTCTCAGTTAGATGTCGAATCTTCCTTTCCGCTACTCCATTTTGTTGAGGTGTATACGGACAAGTAAACTCTCTCTTTATTCCATGCTTTTGACAAAAAGAGAGAAACTCCTTGGACATGAACTCCCCTCCATTATCTGTCCTTAAGGTCTTGATTCTCCGACCCAGCTCCCCTTCCACGGTAACTTTGAATTCTTGAAATTTGGAGAATACTTCTGATTTTTCCTTCACAAAGTATACCCAAGTGTGCCGTGAGAAGTCATCAATGAACAGCAACATGTACCGAAACCCGGAATATGAGGGTGTTCTTGTAGGACCCATCAAATCACTATGGATCCTCTCCAACAGAGCACACTGCACCGTGAAGTAGAATTGTCAAATGGAAGTCTATGTGATTTTCCATATTGACAACCTTCACAAAGCTTTCCTTCATCTTGGATCTTCAGCTTCGGAAGCCCATTTACCAACTCCTTATTCACCATAACCTTTAGCTTAGTCATGTTTATATGACCAAGCCGAGCATGCCATATAGAGGCATTGTCGTTTGTACTCATCTTCTCCACGTATGAGTTGGACGCAGATAAGACATATAGATCCTTAACCCGCGATCCGGTGTGAACCACATCCGCCTTTAACTCTTTCATATTCTTCAAGAATTTGACGTCTCTTGGGCCAAATAAAACGTAGTTACCTGAGTCTACTGCATTCACCATAGAGAGAAGATTCTTCCTTACTCCAGGGACATGGTATACATTCTTGAGGGTGATAGGGCTTCCATCTTCTCCTTCAATGACAACAGTCCCTTCCTTCTCGACCCGGTGAACTGAATTATCCGCGGTAATTATGGCTTCTTTTCCATCATGGCGCTGAAGACTAGAAAATAGCTTCTCGTCTCCGGTAATATGGTGGCTACAACCCGAATCCACAATCCAATCATTTTCAAGATTTTTAGTTGTGGATATACCTGAAGATGCAGCCTCCACCGTGAAGCATTTCCCCCATTCTTCGTCTTTAATATGACCTTTTGATTCTGCCATATTTGTCTCCTTCAGCTTGACTCGACAATCCTTTTTGAAGTGCCCAAGCTTTCCACACCGGTAGCACTTGAATCGCTTCTTATCTCCAGTAGAAGATCCTTCCGGTCCATCGATGTTCTTTGCACCATCGTATTTGGATTTGGCTTTGAAGTTGTGTTGCTTCCGAGCTACAAAGGCGCTCCCCGAGTCATCATGGATTTTGACTCCTGCCATTTGCGTAGCTAATGACTCTTGCGAAGCTAGCAGGTTCTCGAACTCCTCCAAGGAAGGTTGTGTAGCCCATCCTTGAACCGAAGTCACAAACGGTGTATACTCAGGTCGTAGACCTCGAATAATATACCGTTTTAAACGTGCTTCGGAAATTGACTCCTCCGGATTTAGAGTATTAATCTCTGAGCGAAGATTCTTTACCTTGATGAAAAACTCTGAGATTGAAGACTCCCCCTGCTTTGCATTCGCCAACTCGTTCTCTAACAGTTGTAGCCGAGCTTCATTCTTCTTGTTGAACAACTGATCTAACGCCTGCCAAATGGAACTAGCGGATGTGCAACTTGAGACATGCTCAAAGACTCCCGAGGATATTGACCTCTTCAATGCAAACTCCGTCTTGGCATTCTTCCGTGTCCACTCCTTTGTCGCTTCCGCTGTCTCAGCAGCTCCCCTTGGTGGTGTTGTGCTACTGCCGCCGACGACATCCCATAAGTCCTCACTCACCAAGTATGACTCCATGCATGACTTCCATAACTGGTAATTGGATTGGTTTAGAATCTCCATTCCCAACCCAACAACGCGACCCATTGACTCCATACTTAGAGTAAATCTGAGATCTCAATTAATCCGATCTTGAAAAAGAACCAGATCAGAATGGCTCTGATACCATGTAAAGAAAACATCGATAGTGCCAAGCACTAGCCCAAGACCGTAATACCCGAGAGATCCGAAAGAAACAAAGACCCTCTAAGTATGAATAATAAGATGAAAGAATACTTAGAGAAAACTTGAAGGAACTTTAGAGAGAATAAGAGAACTTATGAAGAACACTCTTTCTTTATTTGTTCAACCTCTCTTTTTTTTTGTTTACAAATGATGGAGTAGTGGGCTATTTATAGGCTCCACTTATTACAAAATATCTTACAAACATTCTCCTAATCTCTAGAATTTTCTACAATAATATCTAGAATTTTAACTACAACATCTAGAATTATCTATAGAATTA